TTTTTCTTCTTCTTCTTCTTTTGTGGGCCATGGTTTTACTAATACATTAACTTCATGATCTTCTTCCAAGAGATTTCTCACCAACAATCTATGAAAGTGTTGGGGACTCTGGACTGGAAACTTCTTTGTGACTCAATTCTCTACTTCCACTTCTGCCCCTACCCTCACCCCCCATACCCCATCTCAACCCTCCCCTTGGCCCTTCTGAATTCCGGGATGTTAGAGTACCTGCGTGTGAATCTCAGGCACTTTAATTTAATGTTTACTATTTTGAGTCCTGCTCCATCTACTACCAGATACCTTGCAGGACATTATGATTCACCATGTACTCATCACACCTTTTTTCATTCATTTGATCAACATGTCCCATGTGTGCCAGACTCCATTCGGGGCTGCCGAGATGAATGACACTGTACAGTTCTCAGGAAGCTCAGTCATAAGTTATGGAGAAGTTAACGTCATTCCGCCTGATGCAGTAAGCCCAGAGCACCTAGAAGAGAACACCAAGGAAGGCATCTAGTTCAGCTTGTGGGAGGCGGTGGAGGGCCTGCTTGGGCTAAATTATGAAGGGTGATATAGCAGATGCTATGGGTGCCACCCATTGCCCCTTAACCCTCCCTGGACTTGCTCAACTCTTGCTCAAGACAAATCAGATGTGCCAGAGTTAAAGTCACAGAAAGAACCTCAAACCAACGAGGAGCAGAAGCTGGTGTATAAACACTCTTGCTTTCCTACCGCCTGATGGAAAAATTCCGAGGTGTGCTCTACACAGTCTCTCAAAGGGTCCCCACAGGATTGAGCCCCTGTTGCCCACAGCAGTTACCTGCTCATTAACACACCCTTCACTGCCTTCCCTCCCCTGTCTCATTTCCTTACTACCCTCCATGACTCTTGGTATCACCTCCCAAATGAACTACCTACACTCAAGTCCTTACCTCAGGGTCTCCTTTTGAGGGAACCCAAACTAAGACAGGTGCAGAAGAGTCAGCTAAGAAGAAGAACAAGAGATTCAAGGGGAGAGCACCCAGACAGAGGAAACAGCTTGGGTGAAGGGCAGGATGTGGCATGGCATTTGGTGTGCCCAGGTCCAAGATAGACTGGGCCCAATGTACTTGCTGGTCCAAGAACTTTGTCATGGGGCCTTAGCATCCTTGTCTGGAGGGGACAAAACACCTCAGTCATTTTTCTCTAACCTCCAGGAAGTCCTAATCCTGAAGGCCCTGCCCAAGTGTCTTCCTCATTCCGAACACACAGTTACCCAAGAAGTTGGCTCTGTCTATTCTGAGAATGAGCTGTTCAACTAAAAAAGGAAATTTCCCAACTATCCTGGCTCCTTGGATGATCTGAGTCTATCTAAATATTTGGGAAGGTTCACTTGTGCTTAAAGAGAATATTACAGTATCAAATACTGAGGCTTGCAGAAGGCAATAACATGCAGTGCTTAAGTCAGACAGACTAACTGACTGAGAACCCCAGAGGCTACTAGTCAACCTCTGGGAGCCTCACTTTCCTTCTTTGTAACATGGGAATCAGCCTGTATCTGGTGAGGTTTCAATGAGATATGGATATGGTGTTAGGCTCTGACCATAGTAAGTGCTCAATCAAAAAAACAAAGGATGTGGTGTTGCCAAGCAGAGTATACCCACTGGGGCAAGGCCAACCAGCCACCTGGGTGAGACCGTTAAGCAAACCCCTCCATGTGTCAGCCTTGCCACCAACCTTGCCAGCTCAGAAGCCCAACTGGGCAGCCAGCCATGGATGTGCCCGCTTGGGTTGAGCTTGACCAGAGTAACACAGCAGTCCAGAGGGTCAAGTTCAGACATCAGTCAGCCTGGCCAGGCAGGTCCTCACCACCACTGAAAAGCTAGCCAGC